GGCTCGCCTGATTGAATCGACATTTTCATGCATGGTTACACTGTATTCTCCTAACCAGACGTTTGGCTTAAATTATCAAGACAGAAAGCCAGTGTTGAACGTTTATATCTACAACTGCACTTTTATACCGATGAATAGACAACTATCTTGCGATTATCTTGTTGGAATTAACCCCGAATCTGCTCAACTATCTAACATCACAATTAAATCTTCCACATTTATAAACTTTTATAATCTTGCAGATATATCAAGATCAAGCGCACTCAGCATATTCTCTAATTCTCGACAAATTACCATAGTTTTGGATTCACTACGTTTTGAAAACATTACCTGTTATTACGCGGTGATTTACATGCATTTATTGTATGAAAAAGAACGTGAAATACCTATTGCTGGCATATTGAACACTGTATTCGTAAACACTTCCAGAGCAGTCATGTGCGTTGCCGAATGGCCACCTGTTACATTTTTCTCTTACTTCATGGTAAAGTTTTACAATAATACGTTTAACATTACTCATGGCGGTAAATTTGGAAACGAAGGGCCGGTATATCTTCTTGGTGGTTCATACCACTTCTTATCATGTCATTTTTTTCAAAATGCTCCTGTGTACAATCCTATCTTTCCACTTTTTCATTTTGAATGTGGTACCCAGGTAACGTTTGAAAACTGTTCGTACGAAAGTTATCCAATCACAGAAACTAATGGAAATTTGTCGAACAGCAACATGTTCTACGTTATATTATACGAAACAAGTATCTCACGTGTTACTATAGAGGGATATCTTACAATCCTTTGTCCCCAAGGTTATAAGGTGAATTTAAACACAAACTGTTTCCTGGAATCTTGTTCTTTATTTACTGCGTTATGTGAGCAATGTCCGAGAAAAACATACTCCTTCGACAGAGGAGAAGCTCATAATACCCGGTCCAACCACATCACCTGCCATGAATGCCCTGTGGGTGGGAACTGCGTCGAAGGCCAAGTGACATCTAAACCTAATTTCTGGGGATACAAGTCAAACCAAACGGTCACGTTTCATCAATGTCCTGCCAAATACTGCTGCGATACTAACCAATGCGAGCATTACAACAGTTGCCATGGTAACAGAATGGGTACCCTGTGTGGTGAATGCCCCAGTGGAATGTCGGAATCTCTATTTGACACAAAATGTAAAGCAAACAAAGATTGCACAAGTGTTACGTTTTGGCCAGCGATCTCAGCTTACTTAACTCTTTATCTCTTATTTTTCTTGTACCAAAAAGATATCATCAATTTTGTCTTGGGGCGTATTACACCAAGATATTTTTTGTCTTCCAAAAATGGTCGAAACTCCAAACCCGGCGGCTTCCTAAAAATAATATTTTATTATTATCAGATTGTTCATTTGTTACGCAACTCTGTTGGCTCAGATGTAAAAGTTAAATTCTTTGATGACGCAGAAAACCTTTTATCCAGGGCATTCAATTTTCTTATCATTGGTATTCCTTCCATTGATTGTCCATTTCAAGATCTTCGTCCTGTTCAAAAGGCGGTCATCGTTCATTCTGTAGGGTATAGTTTGTTAACACTTCTTTGTCTATTGTATCTTTCTAAATTTGTATTCAAGGTAGTTAAGAAACTGAGGACTAGATCTACTCAGCAGACGGTTGCTGGTACCGAAACAATGGATTATAGTCCTAATTTAGAAGAGAATCCTTTTCTGGGACGTATTGCAGGGGCCTTTGCTAACATTTCACTTTTGACGTACGCCTTGTCCACTCAACTCTGTCTTTCCCTTCTTCACTGTGTACCAGTTGGTGACAACCAAGTTTTATTTCTTGATGGTCATGTGAAATGTTACAAAACATTTCAATATTTTCTTTTTGTTTACATGATTTCTTCCATACTTCCATTTTGTCTTGTTCCTGTTCTCGGTTCGTATCTTTTGAAATTAAATCGTATTTCTGTAGCACAGTTTTGTCTTGCTTGTATCTTTCCACTGCCATTCTGTTGTTATTGGTCGTATTTGTTGGTACGGAATTCTTCGTGGTGGATGAGACCTTCTCGTCGTTTAGAAACAAATGAGCGATTACAAGATGATGTAATTGATGAAAACTCTACTGATTCAACTACAACTGAAGGTGGGGGAACTGTGAGTGGAAATTCAAACCCGGAAACCGAAGATTTGAGCATAGAAACCGAGTTGAGAAGCAGTAAGGCGGCCGTTCTTCGAGTTCTTCTTGGTCCATTCAGGCAACACAAGGCAATTTTTATTTTCCCTGCCTCGCATCTTCCATGGGAAGGTTTTCTTATTCTTCGTAGACTGGTATTGATTTTGGTCCTCACGTTTGTGTACGACACTCGTGTGAAGGCAACTCTATCCATGATACTTTGTGCAGTTATTTTACTGCCTCATGTACTCGTTAAGCCTTTCAAGAGCGCCAGCGATAACGTACTTGAAACATTATCCCTTGTAATGCTGATAATCATCTCTGGTTTTAATTTGATTAAAAGTATTTATTATGGTGAAGATTTGGACTCCGGTAGCAAGTCTTTGTTAAATATGATCAACGTGATTGAAAATGCTCTTATAATTTTTCCCGTTGCTCTCATACTTTCTTTGGTAATGCTTTCCCTTCTTTTTAAACTGGTAATGGTGTTTCGGCTTTGCTTTCAAGCTGCATTCAGGCGATTGAAACTGTTTAAAGAAACTAATCAAAGACCGTCCGATAACTATACTCCTGAAGAGCAACAGTCTTTGCTCTCATCGTGAGAGTAAGAATTTTGACTCAACATTCAAGAGAAACTGGAATTGCTTTTTGAGTGCATAATTTTCCGTGTTTCCAGACGGGGTGCGAAGAATCTGGAACTAGCAATGGAATAGAAATCAGTTTTGATGGATTTAATCCATTTTGTTCTTCTGTTTCCTTATGGAAGTATTGAAAACTTTAGAAATATTTTTAATGTTAGAAGTCACAAGTCATTTTAAAATATGAGAATGGATTGCTATTGGACAAGCAATGAGGTCTATATACATCTGGAGCAAGAACTTCAGTCATTCGGCCTATGAGAAAGGTGAAGCCAAGATGGGGGAGATTGATGTCCAAAATTTATGAAGGTCGTAAACAGTTTCCATACCATTATCTCCAGCTTTCAAATCTCGGCACACTCCTTGTAAATTCGTGTTGACCGCGCTGATAAAGTAAAAGAAAGAGACTGGCACTTGGCGTCAATTTGCGCCATCTTGGCATCACTTTTTCAACCGAGTTCTCGCTCCAGATATAAATATAGAGCTCAGTGGTGTGATGCTACCGAGCTCATTTTCACAGCAATGAGATAACATAAGTCATTATTGGATGAGTTAACATAGTATGAAATCGTAAATTGTAGTTTGCATATTAGATTAGAGTAGTAGACAAAATAAAAGGGACAATTGTAGACTGTTTTGGTGTTAAAATGCATGTTAAATAGGACAATGTTGCCTGTTATAGGTTTTCAAGGGAACTTAGTCTAAACTTCATTGTAAAATAAATGAAATGTCAAACTAGTAAGCTAGATTTGCAATCGATAATTTTATTTGAGTAATAAAAAATTGTACCTATTTTTCATTATGATTAAGAAAGAGAAATATGAAATTCCTACATTATTTATAGCTCTTACGCAAGTAAATAGATAGAGAATATTAGATAGTCGCGAGGAGATATGGATTTTATGTTCGAGTGGCAAAAACTCTACCTCCTCCGCAGGCCTTTCAAAAAAATAAAATTTGTAGGAAACGAACGGAAAGGCATGCGGACTAATTTTCCAACGAAACATAAACCAAATTATATTTTTATATATCACGGCTTCAATTTTTGAATTGTAGAATAATTAGATGCACTACCTAGTGTATATAAGATATCTATGGACTTTTCAGTGACCAATTACATCAAGGATTACGCTTACGTAATACCTACTTAGCCTAGACTAATTATCTTTACAACAATTGTGATATTACTTCCCGAACTTAGGAACTATGTTTATTATCCTAACCCACCCTGACAACTTTCGCTGTGGGAGGAAACCGGAGCGCCCGGAGAAAACCTACGACTTTCGGCAGAGCGTTGACTGACTTTTTTCACATGAGTCCGTCGCGAGAATCAAACTCACGAACTCAGAGGTGAAAGGCGCCACCGAAGCCCCTAAATATTCAATTATATCCTGCAAATGTACATTACTGTATTTGGTATGTTATAATTAGCTATTGTACATTTTATTTCCTATTAAAACCGGTTTGACGTGTTTTTACAAATAGCCATGTAGTCACATGCGAGGTTCAGATTCTGCAGCTAATCAAGTATGGAAGTGAGATTCCCAAATAGATTTTATCAGAGGCTCCTCCGTCTTGGCCCTGGGTAGGAAGCATGAGCGAAATCGCAAAACATGCATGACTTTCTGGAAGACAAAGATGTGGAAAAATAATTATTTTCAATTTTCTGTTGAGCGTTATTCTATACCGTGCTTTGCAGAAATTTCCATGATTTCGCGATGGCAGAAATTTCCACGACGGTGGCGCGCAATCGTAAGAGCAAGCACTTTCATGCACCTCTGAAATCGCGGGTCCATTCTCATGACTCCTCACATTCGTGTGAAAAGAGTCAGTCAACGCTCTACCGAAGGTTGTAGGTTTTCTCCAGGTACTCGTGTTAACCCTTCCACCGTAGCTGTGCTCCTTGATCAGACACCAGTCGTAAGGTGGATGCCAGTGGCGCCCTTAGAAAGCATTCATGTTGAGCTGCGTCCTAGCTTCGTAATTCATTTTAGCTCTCAACTGCAAGTAAGGATGGTTAACGCACATCCCCACTTAATTTACATGTTCATATGGGGCGAGTGAAAATGGACGAATAGAATGGAAAATATTGATCTCAGAAAACCCCAATTGCTTCCAAGAATTTCACGATCTTGGCAACACTATATCTAATGCATTCAGTTGTAGCACGCTTCAGAAAGAGCCTGGGTAAGAGGTTGAGTAATATATACCAATCCTCGTTCCCAAGGCCTCTCGACTTCCTGCGGATAAATATATTACATTTGTTCAACTGGCATACAAGCAATCTTAATGCTAAAGAGATTCGCGGCGGTTGTTATCAAGTACTCATAATACACTCGAGCATCTTACACGACATCTATGAAAAATGCTCCAAGTTCGTATATTGGTCACTCTAATGCTTTGCTACGGTAAGGGCAGTGTGATTTTATTATTAGTACATCGTAGATTGTACATTGTATACATATAATGATATACATGAAATATAGGTTTATATTGTAGATTAATAATTATTATAAGTATTGTAGGTTAACCATTTGAGTGATATTGCAAGTAGGAACATCCATTTCTTTAGCATGAATATCAATTCGAATTAAATGTGAGATTATTACAGACGTATATTGTATATAACTAGTACTATTGCGTGGCCAATATTAAACTAAAATCCATTTATCGCAACGCATGCACGATTAATAATGTCCAAGGAATAAGCGATTTAGATATGTATGGTATATACCATAAATATACTGCAATTATCAAACAGTTTGCCTTCAATGTATATATAATTTCCGCATTTATTTATGCTTGTTTTATTTTGATACATTTGTAGTTCCGGTTTGTGTCAGAGCACTTTCCGTTTGGGTATGCCCTAGAAATATTTAACTGTGATGGTATTTGAACGGATTTAGTTGAGATACGTTGTTGTTTTGGGAAATAGAGCTTTTCGTTTCAATTTGACTTGATAAAATGTGAGAAATTTGCGATTAAAATTTCTGTTTGCGATATTCGAGAGTATTGTATATAGGCCTACTTTGGGGGACAAGGTCGCCGTTATTATATGCAACATTGTGCGACATTAGGCGACATTGGCAATTTTCAAAGAAAAGTAGAGTGCGACGCTGGGCGACATTGAGCGACATTAGGCGACATTGGACAAAACTGAACAGCAATATCCAGATAATGTCAAATATTATAATTCACAAATTATGCATCTACATAAAAAATACAACAGTAAATATCAAAATATAATTTTGTTATCAAAAATTGGTTCCTGTGGCAAAGAACACAATTAGTTTATTACAAATAGTTTTCAAAAATATGAACTAGGAACATTTTTCTAACTGCTAGCCTGACATTTTACTCAAAGTTTATACCGTAGTACACATACATGCCCAGTGCATGGTACATTTACAGTATCATGGAACTCTGACTTCTTATTAAATTGACTGATGTAAACACCTCATAGAGTTTTAAAACCTGTTTATGGACTGTGGTATGCAGTGATGGAAGTGGGCAAGGTGCTAATAAATTTGCTCGCTTAAATTAACTTTAAACGTTAGTTGAGAGGCTTTCAACAGTTGCAAACTTTTTATTAGTATAGTTTTCTTGTAGTTACAGTATAAATTATAAAGTTAATATGTTCAAGTGTACTGTGTACGTACATTACTACATCGTGGTGTTTGGTATTGGGTTTTTTATTAGTAAGTAAGTAAATCACAAAATAACGATGAAAGTACCTTGTTTGATGTATTTCCAGCAAGAATCAGATATAAATTAATAAATAGAAACAAGAATTGAATTCACAAAAGTTTATATTCGTGTATTCGTTAACATAAAAAAATGCTTAAAAGAAATGGCGGCTGGGATTTGAGCCCGCAATAACACGGCACGTCTCATTTAATGGTTTAGCTTCTAACGTGTACTACTTCGTGTAAGGAAACATAATAATTGATTATGGCGGGCCTTGGCGACATTTTATGATAACCTGTACCGTAGATCTTTCTGTGGTGCATTCATTGCTCTGTATCTTTTGCGATGATACCTAATTATGAGATGTCGATCATCGTAGCTTCGTCGAAAAGTAATTAATTTTATTTTACAAACTACAAAGTCGTATTTTGAACATACTATAGATGACTTTCTTTATTTATAGTCTATATATGTACTATTTAAAACACGAGTAGGAGTGTTTTATCAGATATAAAATGCGAGGCGCAGTCGAGCGTTTTATATCTGATAAAACACGACAACGAGTGTTTTGAATAGCTTAAAATACGACTACAAAAGAATACTAATTAGGATGAACCATTATATAATGCTAATTAGGATGAACAATTATACAATGCCACATGTTATTGTGTTTTATCAGATATAAAGTCACTCCACGTGACATATTATGGGACATGATTTGCCACAAGGTTTATGAATTATTAATGAGTATTTTAAATAGTACATATATAACTACAGACGGTACTGTTTCGGCCTTTAGGATACCTAGTGTACTTCACTAGGCTAGCGAGAGGTATTCTGTACTTTAGCACTCACCAGTTATCATGAATGTATCTTTGATAATAAGATCTAAGTTTGATTTCATATACAACATTTAATGGCATGTGATTGTCTAATTTGACTGAGTTTCACAAAGAAACACATTGGAGAAGATAGCCAGAAGGCTGCCTTAACAACATAATTTAGGTAATTCTCATTGGAATAATGCGTTGTAATTCCACATACATATAAACCCCAAATAACCAAGCCTCATTAGTACTGGTGAGAGATGGTGCCCTAACAGCACATGCCCTTGGTGTTTGTGTACATTAGTCTAGGACCTGTATATGAGTTTGTATGCATTTCATTTAGGACAGATAATCTCAACTGTTTTAGGGTAAGTTGACCATGACGGTCAACATGGTAACGCTGCCCGAACCCCAATCCGGGGCGAAACGTCCGAAACTGACCACACCCAAAAACGACGCTTTCGCCATACTGCTATCTACCAAACCATAAAAGCTTTGGCTATTCTGAGGTGCTTATATGGTTCAGAGATGGTACTTTTGGGGGTGGTCATTGGTAAGTGTGAAATGCCAAGCACTAATATTTCACAAGAAAATGGCCATGCAATAATCATAGTTAAACGTCAATTTGTGGCTTGCAAATTCAGATAAACAGCAGTGGACTTACATTACCTTTTTCCCTAAATCTTTTTGATAGAAACATAAATGGTACTTATTTAAATATATTATCACTGGTTTGGTGTAAAATAGTTAATATTTTCTGACCGAAATAATAATTTGAAATGTGCCTACCTCCTGCAAATGGACGTATTTGGCCAAGTTCTCCACTTTACTCCGCTGTTTATCGGCGATCTCGTCGACATCCTACAAAAAATGTAAATCATCTCAGACATAATGGTATCAAGAACATTTTAAACAAGTTTCAACTTGGTTTCAAGTAGATCATACCTGTTTAACCATCGACAAGGTAAATCCACAACTTTGTCCAAATTCGGCGCCATTTTGTCATCCCATGTCGCTTGTTAACAATTCAGCCTTATTACTCTTCCATCCAAGCCATTTCCATTCCACTAATAATAAATTTAACCCTTTATAACAGGAGGAAACTAAAAAATCTAAACAAAATATAAGAAATACGCCATTTTATCACCATGTAAAATTTTGCTCACGAGTCTTTCAAAACATTCCGTACAAATATCGCGTGACAAAGTAACAGGGACGTGACAGGAGGGGGTGAATTATTTCACGAAGATAGAAGAAGGCTGCGTGAAATAGACTAAAAGCTAAATACAATCATACAAATGTTTGTTTTATTTCTTGTAGCGACAAATATATACATATTATTATTTATTAATATGAAAAAGTCATACAAATTAAATGTTGATTGTTGGTTTTACCATACTGTGTGGGCTTTCCTTTCATTTTTCAAGTCTCTACGCCCCCCTGTCACGTCCCTGTTGCTAAACCACGCGAGATTTGTACGGAATGTTTTGAAGGACTCGTAAACAACATTTTACAGGGTGATAAAATGGCGTATTTCTTGTATTTTGTTTAGATTTTTTAGGTCCTCCTGTTATAAAGGGTTAAATTTATTATTAGTGGAATGGAAATGGCTTGGATGGAAGAGTAACAAGGCTGAATTGTTAACAAGCGACATGGGATGACAAAATGGCGCCGAATTTGGACAAAGTTGTGGATTTACCTTGTCGATGGTTAAACAGGTATGATCTACTTGAAACCAAGTTGAAACTTGTTTAAAATGTTCTTGATACCATTATGTCTGAGATGATTTACATTTTTGTAGGATGTCGACGAGATCGCCGATAAACAGCGGAGTAAAGTGGAGAACTTGGCCAAATACGTCCATTTGCAGGAGGTAGGCACATTTCGAATTATTATTTCGGTCAGAAAATATTAACTATTTTACACCAAACCAGTGATAATATATTTAAATAAGTACCATTTATGTTTCTATCAAAAAGATTTAGGGAAAAAGGTAATGTAAGTCCACTGCTGTTTATCTGAATTTGCAAGCCACAAATTGACGTTTAACTATGATTATTGCATGGCCATTTTCTTGTGAAATATTAGTGCTAGGCATTTCACACTTACCAATGACCACCCCCAAAAGTACCATCTCTGAACCATATAAGCACCTCAGAATAGCCAAAGCTCTTATGGTTTGGTAGATAGCAGTATGGCGAAGGCGTCGTTTTTGGGTGTGGTCAGTTTCGGACGTTTCGCCCCGGATTGGGGTTCGGGCAGCGTTACCATGTTGACCGTCATGGTCAACTTACCCTAAAACAGTTGAGATTATCTGTCCTAAATGAAATGCATACAAACCCATATACAGGTCCTAGACTAATTCTTTGTACGCGAAATTTTGGGATTTTAATTCAGTTAACAGGCATGCAGGTATAACAAAAACGGTTATATTTTAATGTATTGATTGAGTTAGAGACAGTTTAATTTAAGACTCAAAAGATGAAACCATTCTGATATGAGAAAAATCGTCCACAAGTTGTTTGATTGCCCGTCATTTAGATGAAAAGTCACGTGATTGCAAACAAAGTATTGTAATAATTTGAATAGGAATTAATGAGAATAATGTAAGAAATTAAATTATAATTTGAATGAGAATAATGTAAAAGCGCGAACCGTCGCGCGAATAAATAACTAAAGATTTTCAACATCTGGGAATTTAAAATATCTTCTAATATTATAGCTAAAAGGACAGTGAGTACATAAAAATGGTCGAATTACTGTAGTCGGTCACAGCGTCAGCTCGAGCAAAAATGGTCAACTGACCACAGAGCAAGGAGTTTTTTATTGTGTTAAATTATACGCTCGAAGGGGGGGGGGGTTCAGCATAGTAATAAGAAGTAATAAGGCATTCAAATTCCAATAAAGGCTTGATTTCAAAAGGTATACTTTTTTCCGGACACCCTGTACAGTACCGGTACTTAATAAACAAAACATGACAATTATATTGCTAACATGCATGCAAGAATTTGTTGACCGTGATACACTTTTTCTATATTTAACGCAATTGTACAACCGTACTTTACTTATTGTTGTGAAGTGTGGGACATTTTTGGTGAAACTCAATCACAACGATTACAAAAGCTTCAAAATAGATGCGCTCGAATTATTATGGACATGGGTAACGAAGTTAATGCCCAAATCGCATTAAATTCGTTAGGATGGGAGACACTAAAAGTACAAAGAACTAAAGCTAAGGCAAAATTAATGTTCAAAATTTTGAATATGTCTGGGCCTAAAAGCCTAACAGACCTTTTTACCTACAAGAATGAGAATACGCATTACTGTCTCCGTGACAATGAAACAACACTCGTTTTGCCACAGCCCCGCACAAATAGCATGAAAAAGAGTTTTATGTTTAATGGGGCAAAAATATGGAGGAACTCAGTGCCTAAAGAAATCAGAGGAATTAGGTCCCAGTCTCTATTTGAAAGAAAAATTGCTGCTCATGTTTCTAAATAATATATTTATACATACATACATATATATATATCCTTTATTGTAAATAGTTATCTATATGTTTTGTTAGTTGTCTATATTGTCAATTTTGTCAATTGGAACAGTTAGATTATTTCTATTTTCTTTTATTTGATTCCATAAGAGTCATAACAACACTTATATATAATAACTTTTGAACACACGCCCTTCGTGGAAATCAATGTTTTTAATTGACGTAGTTAGCGTGTCAAAATAAAATCTATCTATCTATCTGTCTATCTATCTATCTATCTATCTATCTATCTATCTATCTATCTATCTATCTATCTATCTATCTATCTATATATAAACAATCTCATAACAATATACACGCCCGTGCTGGAGGTCGAAATTTTGCGGTAGTGAGTCGACATTCAGAGGACAACCTTAATTGAATTAGCTTCATGAAAGAAGTGCATGGAAAACTCATAGTTGCTTACTTTTTGCCTAAAATTATTCAAGGTACGTTTACATGCTGTATCTGTCGTGTATACGATTCGTATATTCTGGCGTATGTAAATCGAGTAAACACGTGTAAAGTGGTTACATTTCTAATTTTGCCATATAGTAGCTAAATGAAGAGAAATTGTGGCGTCATAATACACCAGAGTACGAATCGTACGCGACAAATCGCAGCGTTTTAATAACGTACTTTCATTCCATCACTTTCAGTGTCAGCATAAGCTTTTTAATGCTCTCGCTCAATTGTTTCCGAATTCCCCAGAATGTACTGACAAGGGCTAGGTTTGTTTCCACATGAAAACTGGTTAAAATGTTGAGTCCCTTTAATGCCTTATGAAATTAGATTTATCAAGCAGCGCTAGCTTATAAGCTACAGAAATTGTAGATTACCAGTAGTTATATTACCTCATCTAATGTTGCATTCTTTGTTAATTTTGCCAAGTTTATAAGTTTATAAGATACTACGATTTATTACCTTGAAATCTTTTTTCTATCTTCTCTATTCTTTGCTTTTGACTTTGGGATGTGTTTTCCTGTTGACCGACTTTCTTTTGCAGGACTTCGATTTTTATCTCTTGGGATTGAACTTGGTTTGTTTGGATTTGGATTTTGTTCTCTTGTGACTGAATTATCTGTTTTTGACTTTCAACTTTTTTCTCAAGTTTATCTTGCATATTATTGAATTCATCTTTTTGGTTTCTTAATTCCTTCGTTTGGTTTCTCAGCTTGTTTTCCAAGGTTTTCAGTCCTTTATTCTGTTCGTACTTTAGCTCTTGTACCTGTTTATGTATAACAGTTTCACATTTTTATTGTTTCGCTACAGATCGCCAATATTTAAATTCATGGGCGTACCGGAAGGAAAAATTTAGGGGGGGCGGAAAGAAATTTGCCCGACTTTTCCGGATTTTGCCCGACAAGTACCGAAAAATTTTTTTCCGGAATTTGTTTTGGCGACCTCCCCCCCCTCCCACCCCCACCCCCCCCCGTCGCCAAAAAAATTTCGGTCAGTGTACCATTTTAAGGATCAAAATTTTTTTCAGGACAGACATACCAAAATTTTCCGGAACCTAACACAAATTTTGGAAATATCACAAAATGACCACAAAATTTACAGAATTTGTCCAATTTATTTTTTTAATAAACCAAAATTGCCCGACTGTTCAGGGAATATTTCCCGACTGCCCAACAAACTGGGGGGGCTGCCCCCCCGCCCGGTACGCCATGATTTAAATACCAAATGGCCCTTAATTATATGGTCTTCAAACACTCATTAATAATTCATAAGCTTTTTGGCAACATAATATGTCACGTGCAGTGGCTTTAAACCTGATAAAACACTCCTAATTAGTATTCTTTATATAAAGAATACTAATCAGGCAGTATCTATTGTAGTCGTGTCCTCATTAGTATTCTTTATATAAAGAATACTAATAAGGCAGTATATCTATTGAATTTGTAGTCGTGTTTGAAGCCGTTTAATAAACTCGCAGGTCGTGTTTTATTAGGTCTAAAGCCACTCGCGTTGCGCGCTCGTGGCTTTCAACCTAATAAAACACTCCTGCTCATTTATTAAACAGTACATAATTCATAAATTATGCGACACTTTTGTCTGGGTTTTTTTCTGGAAAGCCACTATAACTTTTGCAGGTTTTGACAGTTCTCTTTCCCGCCTGACCGCCCGCCACGCTGGATATTAATTAACCTGAATATATACTACCATCAATATTAAATTACCTCTTTTTCATTACCCAATGCTTGCCACTTTGATCCTTGGTTGACATAAAGTTGTTTATTATCTGAACGATATGAGAGAAGACCTGGAACATTTGGAATCTTTTCAAAAATTTCTTTATCAGATACAGTCAATGTCTAAAAAAGAAAAGATTTTTTGCATACTGAAGTAGAAAAGCAGCTATATGCGTGGCCCTGAGGTTCGAGAACAGACGAAAATCATGTATGCATGAAATTTTGTACTTACGCCTTCGTTTAAAAATGATTTGAATGATTCGGAACAAGAACCCTACAACAAAGGAAACTGGTTATTTGCATACTTGAATGTAGCACCATTTGAAAAACATAACATGAACCTCGACGTTTCGAGCGAACGGTCTTCATGTGGAAGTAAGTAGTAATGTCTTTCTTATTGTTCAGGGGCGATTAAAAATTGGCCTTTGACTGGTGTAACCCAGATTAAACTTTAGTATATAAAAATTAAAGATTCCTTTTATTAATTATGCGATCCATATTTGTAGCTTTATCACTTTTCAAGCAACAGTTAGGAAAACTTACACTATCCGGCATAGGCGTACGGGCTTAGAAATTTAGGGGGGGGGGGGCGGATGTCAATTTGTCCGACGAGCGCCAAAGGCGCGAGAACTGCTAGGGATTCCGGGAGCATACGCCCCCAGGAAATTTTGAAAAGTAGAATCTCTAAAATGCCATTTCCTGCGTTTTGGGGGGAGATTTTGTGCATGGAGCGGGTGAGGATCGAAGAGAAAATCAATGAAACAAGACCAAGTCTGATGACTATTTTACTTAAATGTAACTTTTACCGAAAACCTGACCTAATCTCCCCTGCAAGTTTAATGTCAAAAGAAATGTGAGGCACGGTGACTTCGTTGGCCAAAAACATAAATGATTCTGTCCATATCATTCGCGAGCCGTGTTCTACTAGTATACGCTCGTTCCGTACAGAGAAGAGAAATTTTTGACCCATTGTGGAATGAACGTACGTCTTCACCCTTCGTTACCCACTGAAAGATCTTTCTGCAGAACGTGCCGTAGTTGGAATCGTTGTCAAGATGGAACTTGAAATGCCAGTGCATGTACTGTATATGCACGAGTACCGTATACATCTCGCGTATCTCTAGCGTATTCAGCGTGTGCCTGGAGTAAGCTTATCGTATAAACCATACGTCCGAATACGCACAAAATTTTTAAGCATCTTAAAAAAGGTTTCTGTCTCGCTGGGCCTCGCCGTATGCCAGCGTATACCACCGTATGGGACCGTGCTTGAAACGTACGTCAGCGTACGAGTGATATTTTTCATACGCTGACATACCCTAGCGGTTTTTCATAAACAACGTTGTTACAATTAACAGTTACAATATATGATTTTCTTCAAAATGATAAAGTTTCTTCACGATTCGTTGGGAGTGATGTCTGTTTAGCGTTAGTTAGCGCTTGCGCCACTGCGCCAGTCAGTTATTATGGCATATAGCCAGTGGCGCGAATGGAAAAGCATGTGTATTTTAATTATTTTTATCACCTTTATGCAAGCATATATCCTAGTTTGAATATTTTAAAACATTTTTTCGCATTTTACTATTAATAACATTTGTTTGTTGGAAAGACCAATTTGATTTCAGGTACACAGGAAGATTGCCCGACTCTTAAGTACAAATTGCACGACTAATTAATATTTCTGACTAAACTGGGGGCTGCCGCCCCCCCCACCCCCACGCCTCGTACGCCTATGCTATCCGGTGGATAGTGCATTCCAGCTTTCGTATATGCAACCGGGCCCAGGTATTTGCATTCTACATATCATCCAAGACTGGAAATTGTATTCCCCCTATCTAAACTGGCACCTAACACTCAAAAATTGTAATTTAATCATACTTGTCAGTTGTCATCCTGGCTGCTGCTGTCATTGTTATTAATTACTGTATCGTCATTATTGTTGTTTTTAACGTGATGCTTCAACTAACACTCGTTTAGCAGTCGGAGAGAGATTGAAGGAAGTATTGGTGACGCAGTTGCTAATTTGTTCCAAAAGTAGTGCAAAATATGAAAAATCACAGTCGAGACAAGCAAACTTCACATTTGAGGAAAAGTTCGAGCACTATACCTAGTGGGTAGCTAGACAACATACTCCTGTCATACAAAAAAAAGTATTGTGAATTCTTATCAATTGATTGAATTCCATAAGCGTTCCATAACTGCGAATCACTATATATGGCTTAATATCAGGAGTGTGAGATTGAGAAATAAGAATTTGAACCACAGACAATAAAAAAGAGCGGAAAAGGGAGAATATCAGGTAGGAGAGAAAATTTAATTACGAGGTACTTATAGAAATGATGAAGAAATGTTAAAATTGTAACCAGGATTAGGCATGTTATAATTAATTATAGATGTACGACTTGATTGACTATTAACTAATGTAAGTATTATACATGCCAAACAAATTCATATTTTATAACTATTAAATAACTCCATATAACTCGGTGTATAAGTTACAGCAGCTACTAATCTAATATGATATAGTGAAATTTAACAGTTTTTAAACTTAAAAGTATAGATTTTACCTTATGCACCATGCTTGTTTGGGGATCGATAAAATGTTTTTCACGTTTGCCTGCTGAGTTATTCACAAAAAACTCCATGCATCTTTTCCACACACGTTGAGGCATTCTAGTTCGCACCCAAAACCAAACAAAAGCTTTCTTTGTTATTGTTCCTCCATTAATTACAGTGCAATTTGAGCCACAGTAGTTTTGCTTTCCTCCTTTAGGACCAAAACATGCACAACACTACAAAATACAATCAAAGATCTCAATGAGACGACTCACCAGTGCGACTCACGGATCACAAAGAAACAATAAACAATAAACAAAGAAAAGCCTATTATCGTTCTACTTCTTAAAGTATCTCTTTATGAAGTAAAAATAACTCCACTTAAGGAGTTAAATTACTCAACATAAATGGAGTAAAAAAAGGAGTAAAATTTACTCCGAAAAAGGAGTCGTTCTGTACCTTTTTTATTTACTCCACTTTCGAGTCAATTCGACTCCTTTGGAGACAAAATGACTACTATACCTTAGAAATCAATAAAGACATTTTTCAAGTCAAAATAATTTATTATCCCTACAAGTAAGGTATATTATAGCAGGAAATACAATTAATTCTGCTTTAGCATAATATAACGATATATTAATTCTTGCGCTCGATAATATTCTTTGAATGAAGTTCTAAAGTCACATTTTGATTAGAATGATATCATGGCTACATGTGGAATATAATTACAAGCCTGTCAGCATGAATTGAACCTGTAGCCCTGCAATTCTACTGCAACCCTTTGACCTAAAGAGTCCTTTTGCCAAGACGTAACCACAATTTGCTGTATATATAGCTACCATGGTGGTGTCATTGGTAGTGTATTAAATAAACTGGGATGACACTATATAGTATTATATACATGAACTCTTGGTTACAGTAGCTTGATTGACTCTTGGGGCGATGGACTCTCAGGACTTCATGGACTCTCGACGCTTAAGAAGGTGATCAGAATCACACGGCAGCAGGTTCCATTCCCGGCACAATACCTACTGCATAGTTATTGTTCAAAATTTCCATATACAGAAAAGCTTTAACTTCTGCTGAAATTTCGTAATAATTGTATTACAGTATATTAAGCCTGTTTCATACGTCGAACTTCTCATTAAAAACAATAGATAATCAGCTGAAATGCCTCATTATCCATTGTTTCTAATGCGTTCGGCACATGAGAAGCGCGACGTTTGAAACAGGCCTTAGTTTCTTTGCGTATGTCTGTGACTCATATTTTTATATTTAGGTCAATATTTATTAGAAATTAGTTTACTAGCATAGGTACACGTCTCCATTGAAGAGCACATATTTTAACTTGTGAAATGGATCTCGTGTTTTAAATAAAGATGTCAATCAATCAAATTTTTGGCATCTTTCCCGATAGAGCAAAACATAGCAAACTTACACAGGTGTGACTAAGCAGTCTGAGGTAATAGGTTTGAAATTAACTTTTAAAATTGATTCGGATGTGACTGACCTCACGTCACACTACGTTATAATATTTTTTAAAAAAACTATACCTTTCCGTGATCGCATCCAACAAACGCCGTGGAGCTGTGACTCATTCCAGATAAGGAAGAAACGGCACTATAACTGAAGACGAAAACCGCATCTTGAGTATACAGGAGAATCATTTCGCCTCCTTAAATTTATAGCTCCCTTTCTAAAAAGCAGCTTCCCTTTCTAAAAAGCAGTTTCTATTTTCAACGAAGAAATTTATTAACCTGCGCGGCACCCCTGTCTCTGTTAAGACCTCCACCCTCTCCCGCCACAACTATAAGAACACGTGTACACCGCTCTGATTTATCAACTGCATGGGTCGGAATTTCACGTTGGTTTACGGTCCCCTCTTATTTTACCCACTCCAATAGACTCTCGTATAGGTCATTGCTAGATAGCATACTTCAAAATAAGGTTTCCGTTTTTATAACGTAAAACTAAACCCTAACACTAACCCCAACCCCAACCCTAACCCTTACCTAACCCTAACATAACCCTAACTTATTTTAAAAATTGGAAAAAAAACGGAAACCTTAGTTTGAAGTATACTATCTAGCAATTTCCCTCTCATATACTGTTCAATGTTGAACATAACGAATAAACCCCCCAGGGGAGGCTTAATGCAAAGGTCTTTAAAGGCTTTATTAAGTTATTAAGATACCATTACCATATATTTAAAAATTACTTGGTTCAAAAAGATGTTCATGAATTTCTGGTGTTCATCTTCGGAGCTAGCTTTTCACACTTTGGCAGCTCTGATCAAAACGGCTAAAATATTTAAAATGCGCTCAAACGAAAATAATTATAAATTATTACCTATATCCTCCAAAATTATCGTATCGAAATTTAATTGCATCTAATACTGCGTAGCCATTTTTGCACTGATGTCGAAGGCAGTAATTCATTTTCCCCTGAAATGTATATGTGAATAAAAAAGTGCTATAGTTTACAATGAGCAGTAATAGACAGGCGTAACAGTCATTTAGTGAGCAAAAGCATTGAGTGCAGAAGCACAGTAAAGTGGGTTATAATTTAAGAAATAGAAAACGAGTCGCATGCGCGTTTATGGTGTGATAATGCACACGGGGAATGTTGAGAGAACAAGAAGCGTGTAAAGCGAGTATTCTCCTAACATTCCATGCACGAGTGCATTATCGTACTATATAAACGCACGAGACTAGTTTTTCTATTTCTTTTATAATATAAGTAGAAGATATTACATAGACTTAGTAAACAGTTTTACTCAAAAGATCAACGGTGAAATTTTCCTAACATGTACTCAGTGACCTCGCGCACATGCATGCTTGTACTGTCGGTCTGTCGCTTGAATTTTGAAAGGCAAAGCAATACAAACTTTGAATTTGCGAAAGGCAAAGCAATACAAACTTTTGATGCTATATAGCCAGAAAAATTGTTTAAAATGCTGGAAATAAAATCAGTGACACACAGACTAATTTGCCAAAGTTTTTCAGTATCTGGGCTGCTGGATTTGTCATGAAAGACGTTAAATCGTATAGGTTTCGTCGTGTTGCTCAGTTTTAATTTTCGAAATTATTGTATTTTTTGTCTTTTGCCGAAAATATATCTAGTAGCTGTTATCAGAAGAATTTAAAGTACTTTCTTTCGGCTATTTTGCACGCTTTTGCCCAAAACTTGTCGAGACAACAACAAATTCGACGAATGCTAAGCTGGTTAATTTTACACGTAGAACTATGGAAAAATTGCTTTGTTCTTCTTGCTTTTTGATAATTTTTTTATTTTAAAAGGTCTATAGCTTTGTTTATATTTTTGGCCAAAAGTAGAGATGAAGCCAGGGGGAGGCAGAGAAAGAGCAATAAGGCAGTGTCATGCATGCACGGATCACAGTGCATTATTGCGTCTCAATCTACGCGCATTAGCCAAACACAACACTGTTCGAGAATTATTGCATAATATTAATGACACACAAGACTAGGACACAAGACTAGTGCAGTTTCGCATTATAATTTTATTCAGATTAATATAAAACATCTACAAATTCAATAAAAACAGTTAAAGTAATTTGCAATCAAAGCGAGAAAACACTTATTCCAATTTATATATATATATTTAAAAAGCTATATCTCACATGATTCTGTTGATTCCAATTTCATGAATTAAAATATCCCGTCTAGTGGGCTAGTATTCCAAAGGTCGTAGGTTCGATTCCCACCGTGGTCAGGCATATTTTTCAAGCTTCCCCGGTGTGGATATACACTCAGAGTAACATCACAATAATCATATTTATCCCGTCTACTTTGCATAGATATTTTCGATTTTTTATGTTTTCCGAAACAAGTGCTTTGTTTTTCTACAACATGCAGAGCAAAACTGACTAAACTCGCACAGAAATAGTGTTTATGAAGGACATTTTACAATGAAGTATTAATAATTTCAAAACTTAATTTATTATGCAAAAAGTAATTTTATGCATACCCATCCCAACAAATGATGTATATGTTGTCCAAACTTTGAGCACTTGAAATTGTTTGTCACGACTCTTTTAACCAGGAGATCTTTAACAAACTGGATGTTTCCAATTCCAGCTTGCAGTTTCGAACATCCATTGTTGATTGAAAAAAGATTTCCAAACTCCCGTTGTGGATTTAATCGGTATAACCTGCAATTGATATGTTCAAAATAACAAGAGATTATTTGTAATTTACTCAACGCTTGCGTTGCCCTCTTACACGTGAACAAGGTGCAGAAAACTGATGTAATTTTCTAATTGTAGTGCAAGACATGAAAGTGCTCATCCTGCAGGAGAGCGCTTAATAGTGATGTGAAACATTAGTATATCTATAGCTCAGGTAAATGGTGAGAAAATATACGTCTCCCTATAAGGCTTTCGGTTTCTATACTTGTTATGGATGGTTCATTTATTGGGGTTTTCACTTTGAATTCCCTGTATTGTTTGATGCCATTGTTTATTTGAAGTTTTTCTTTTTTTGTTGTTTCACTGTTAAAACTGTTCCTAAGTGAATTTTTGTTGTTCCCAAACTTGTATGGAGATATGTTTTCTTACCAGTCTGCCTTTGTCCCTTCAAAAGTTTTATCAGTTGAAAATTGAACTCTAAAGTCTAGAACCTTGACATCGCCTAAATCACTAGACCAATGTGGAGGTCCTTGAGGATCAACAGGTGCAGAATTAGACGGTACTGTCCAGGATACAGGACTATCCTTCATTCCAACCAACATTAATCCTCCACCATCTGTATTAACATCACAATAAACCTGTTTTGTCCAAGGTAATAACAACGTAAACTATTGTTCTTGCGCCACATACTATATAAACTACACAACAGACAATAGTTATAATTGATTTCTCGAAATTTTAATTTTCTTTGAAATATATTATGTTCCTAATTCCGTCGTGTATTTATCGTTCGTCTTCAAGGATACACGTAATTGCTCTCGTTACTTGTGCTATACTATACTTTTCATTTTATTCATTGCATATCAAGTACGAATGTAAATCATAATAGATAAAGTAAGTTGCAAGGTGTATGAAACAAGCATGAAAACGACTTGCGTTGGCATATCAATAATTGTTACAAATAAAATCACAGCTACAACACTTAATAGACGAAATGAAATTAAAGCACAAGGATCGGAATGCATTCCTTTCCCACTCGCAAATTGAAATGTGCACAACATATTATATCAAAACCTTTTGAGGAAGTTATGTATTTTTTCCATTTTATAGAAGGAGTATACCTAATAAATTAAAATATGTTATATTTTTCCAAAGAACATATAGTCAACATAAAGATGTTTGATAACAATGCAATCATTTCATTTTCGAAAGCTTTGCAGTAATAAATTTACGTGGTGTTTCCACAAACAAAACTATTATTAACTTTAGGTAGGCCTATTATAAATGATAATGATATCTGGTGGAAATCAAAACATAATACTAGGTCTAGGCATAGAGCATGACACAATTTATACTAAAAAGTTATTTGCAAAATTTGTAGCTAAAATATGATATAGTATTCCTGATGAACAAGACATCCTCCGCAGGCATCTCACTCAAGGAAAATTTTTTTTCAAAACCCATTCGCTGGCTAAAACCCATAGAGAGGCCTGCGGAGGAGGCTAGGATGCAACTACCTGAAAACTGTCAGCTTGTTCGTTTGAATGGCACTACCTACACTGGAAAGATAGTTTAATAGTATTCCTGTCCAATTACGTCAACTAGGGAAAACAAAATTTAGTCAAGTAATAAAAAGACACTTGTGACCATCATGAGAGTTAATTATAAAACAATGATATAATTAAAACGATGGCGAAATACGTAGAATTGCAATCTACTAGCATATATTATGAGACAAATCCTTCCACTTTCTAATTTGTTTTTTTCTATTTCTTCCCTACTATATTTGAAGTGAGCAATTTATGAGCAAAATCATTCTTGATTAGCAAATGCTACATGCATGTGTGCAGGTTATTGTATACGTCCAGTAATTAATTCGTATATAATAAAAGAATGTTGTTGTTGATGATACTCAGTATATATTCAATAATTAAGATTTATAAGAAAATATTGTTGTTGTTGATGATACTAACATACATATAAACATTCCTCCATTAGACATTTTCGCTTGATATAGTTGGTTAATATTACAAATTCCAAACATGTACCTTATGCTTAGTCCCTTTAGGCAGAACAATCCAATAAAATCCATCCTTTGCTTCAGGTAATTGATCAACAATATCTGGACAATCTCGGGCTGGGTTGAATATCTCACCCAATGTCCGAGAACCTAGATAGAGGTAAACAGAATCTAGATAATCTTTCATTTCCTGTAATTAAGGGTTTTGTCAAAATGAGTAAGTTGTTTGCAAAAATAAAGGGAATGTGACTAATTGGACACGCAAGTCATGCTTTATATGGCAAATTCAAGCATAGAAAATGTAGGTTTATTTACCGTCAGCAAATTTCCATTGAGGAACGCCTTCAGTCTTTCTTGTACAAATGAGTAATTTCGATCGTCCAATTCTGTCCGTGTAGTTAAGATGTTGTTGACCAATGTAACATTTAGAAAATTTCTGAAATTAAATTAAAATTCAGTCAGGTAAAATCAAACCTTGCAAGTATTTTGTTAAACTTGAAGGATTGGCAGTCGGAAACGACGTTGGCCAACAAAACCATTGAAGAGTATGTAAAGAATAAAAGCCGAAATCCAGTTTATTATGTAAGAGCCGATGTAAAAACAGGAAATATGACACACATGCCCCCAAAAATAAAATCCCCCGGCCAAATTTCGTAGGAAATACCCCCCCCCCCATTCGGAAATTTGGCCTCCTACTTATATATAGGAAGCTATATATTTGTTATCAGAGATATTTGGACATATTGTGTCCAGGGTTTCTCTTTGAAGAAGAACGAAACTCTCGTCTGCCTTTTGACTTTAAGTTTTTCCAGGACTATCAAAATAGCGCGAGTCCGAAGGATGAGTACATATGTATAGACAGATTAATTCTGTTGCCAACACCCTTTCGCTGCTAGCATTCGCTGCCAAATTTCATAATTTTCTGCATTGCGTGCATCATTAGTCTCCCACGCAAGCCGCTCTATGTGTCGTTATAAAGAGCGGCTGCGTGGGAGACTAATGCATCATGGGCATGAAAAATTTCTGTGTTTTTGATCAAGAAGCAGTCCTGATGATTAAAAACTTTTAAGACTGATCTTATATATATATATGTGTGAATTACAATTCCATCCATGCACATATTATTCTTCAATATACTAATTCCTTATAAACATCCATTGCTCCTGTGTGTGTTTTTGTCTCTGTAAAGCATTTTGAATTATTAATAATGTTTATCTTATTGCTGAAGGAACTCGATGACATGACAAACACACTAAACGGTTATCTATCTGACAAGTGCGTCACCACTGCCTTAGAACTGAAACAACCACTATAGATCTGGAACTTATATATATAGATACTGTATTCAAATTTCCATAATCCACCATGCAATGCCTATTTTGGCATAGCGCAAAGATGGACATTCCTGTGTTCTTGGCCCATTTGATCACCCAAAGCTTTTTTACAACCGAAATAAATATGTTCTAGTTCTGTCGCCTGCGATTTGCTTGCGATCTAGTTTTTGTAAGACGATGTTTTCGCATCCCATTATTTCATTTATCTTTTATTCACCTTTAATCAATGAATCAAATCTGCTTGACTTTTAATTAAAAAAATGTAAAGTCGGAGTTGACGTCCCTTGCAGGCTGAGTTAAGGATTACTTATATGACTATGAGTGTTAAATAATAGGCTACAGTGTTTAGGATTTTTGTCATGTTACTTATATCTATAATGGTACCGATGAATTCTTATATTTACTAACGTATGATACAAATTTGCTTTTAATACACTAAAATATTCCATACCAAATTCAGGAATATCATTCAGTGATAAATACACTACGTAACTTGTTTTGTTATAGTCATGCATTAAATTAACGTATACGAAGTAGAGTTGAATTTGATAGTTTTGCTTCTATGGGCTTGCTGACTATACAACTGTAAAGTGGCATATACAAAAGAATAGACGTTATTCCTGATAAAGCGTAAAAAAGCTGCATACACAGCAATGTAGAGTGAAATTGGTATTTGACTAACAAGCTGGCTAACAAAACTATAAATGAAGTTATAATAAGTGATGTATCAAAATACGTTATTTTAGCTTTGTTATTAGCTATTAGGCTACTGTGACTACCTTGTCGTTTTGAGACAAACCAAAAGCCAGACTCAACCAGGCTGAAAAAAACAGGATTTTCCACAGAATGTTTTCAGACATCATTTAGTAAATTTCGTCTTCAACCAAGTTCTATCTTCTTCCTTCAGCTTCTTGTTACGTAATGAATGCATGTGACTATTGTTTTCAGTTTAGTGCATGCGTATAGCCTACAACTCTTGACAACTTGTTGCGTGAGTATTTTGACAAAAACGAAACTTCGTTGAATTGAATACCTACGTCACATCTGCATTTACAATTATGCACATGTACACTATACAGGTATATGATCTAATTTGCCTAGATGTTTATGATCAGATTCCTTTCTCGCATGACCAAGCAACAATAAGATTAGTATACGCATGGTTTGAATGTAATTTCCCTAATACATTGCTTCATGCAGTTATATGGAATAATCTACGTGATTCATCGATTATATTGATTGGTAAATCCATGTATTTTAAAACCGCCATATTTGAGGAATATTAAAAATCTCCAATCAGGTTGCTAACAATGTTATTTTGAGATGGGCAATCCATCTGTGTCGCTTTGGTGAATTGGTCCTGCGAAATCAGCCGCTTGAAATCGTTTAATAAGTAAAAACACTCAAGTTTTTTTAATAAATTTAATTTACAATGCTGCATTATCGACACGAATTGATATTTGATAAGATCTTGCAAGATCACAAGGACATTGTTATTCAATCATATTTGTGACGTGGCATATAATATGCAAGGTGTTCAATTACATATTTCTGTGTGAATTTTGTATCAGTGTTTGCCGCTTTATATATAACTATATAATTTTTTACCATCAATTTGATTTCAAAACTTAACTTCGAAGTAACTTTGTCCATGCTCACGAACCGTTAGTTACAAAATATTATGACATATTTATACTTCAAAAATATGATTTATTCATTTATGTTTTAAATTATTATTCATTGCATGTGTATAAATATATATATATATATATATATATATATAAATATATATATATATATATATATATATATATATATATATATATATATATATATATATATATATATATATATATATATAAATATAAATATAAATATATAAATATATAGTTAACAGAACTTTAGTGTCCGAAGATTGTCTGTAAACTCAGGCATGAAACTCTGAGTAACAACGTTTTTCATAAATAATTAAATAAATTTAGCTCTACAATAAAGTATTGAGCACTCTATATTATATCAAGAAAACTTTAATTGTTATATATATATATATATATATATTGAAATTATTGATAAAACTAATGTTGTATGTCCCACACAAAGAGAAGGATTTGGGGCTTATAAACTGAATTCGTTTGAACCGCATGGGTTGAATTTAAAAGACTTTGTTTGAACAATAGAGCTAATCAAGCGAATTATTATAATTAGGGTATTGACAGTTTAAATAGTTGAAATCAAGTGTACACATGTAATCTGAAGAAGGGGCTTGCCCCGAAACGTAGTAAAAAGTTGTTATATGAGCTTTTATGTGTCATTGATTGATTTATATAAATGTTGGGCTTTAGAGAAAGTTGGCTCAGTGTATATAATATATTAATATATATATATATATATATATATATATATATATATATATATATATATATATATATATATATATATATAATAGGAAATAAAATAAATACATATTACAAGGGTCACAAGGTCACAAGGCCTGGACATTTGCTTCGGTAAATGAGCTCACGAGTGGAGGAATACTATATCGTATGTTAATCTTTGCTTTTAATTTTGCATCATATCTAGAAAAGGGTACGTATGTGATATTACTCTCGGAGAACTCCATCGTTTATATATATATATATATATATGATTTGGTGTTGATGCGTATCAAGCCTATATACTCAGAAAATTTCTGAGCCCTAACAGGAACTGAACCACGTAACCTTCCGATAACCTGACAGACGCTTTTTTTGTGTATATATATGTATATATATATATATATATATATATATATATATATATATATATATATATATATATATATATATATATATATATATATATATATATATACATACATACATACATACATACATACATACATACATACATACACACATACATACATACATACATACATACAGGGTGTCTCAAAAAAAAACGCTACGGAAATTCAACAGGCTGTCGTGCATCATAAACTTAGCTAAACAATTCAATTTTTACATAGGACGAAAGAGCTGTTATTTAGCTTCTCTATGATACTTTTTTAAATCGTAACGATGAGAAATGGCCACATACTCGTCAAATAAAAAATGCCGGTCGAAATCACATTCTTCCACCGTTGGGAATTGCATGGAAAACGAACCGTAGACAATTCACAAAAAGGAATTAAAATTGAATGTTAAATTATCTAAAATGAGCTCAACTCGTAAATCTTCGTCTTAAGCCTGCCGCACACGAGAGCAACTTGCTGAGCTATGTATTTTCACCGCACACGTTTGGAAAACTACTTAACAACAACATAATTACTCTCGATTTCAATTTGCTTTTCAAAACTGACTTCCAATGTTTACTTGTAAATTCGAAATGTTCGTTGTAAAGTTCCGAAGTTTGTTTCGAAGTTCGTTCCGATGATTTACGATAATCAAGTTTAGTAAGTTGTAATTGGCTAGTTAAGTGAACCAGCCAATCAAATTGCTTGCTATTGAATCATCGTAAATCATCGTAATGAACTTCGAAACAAACTTCGGAACTTTACAACGAACATTCCGAATTTACAAGTAAACATTGGAAGTCAGTTTTGAAAAGCAAATTGAAATCGAGAGTAACAAAATTATTTGCATTTTCCTCCATTTTGTTCCATGTCACATGAAGAAACTATGGTTTGTCATTGGCTAATTGATTGAAACAGCTCAGCACTTAGCTTACAACATGCATCCGCAGACGCTGAGATTTTTTCCTCGCGAGGCGAAAAATATCAAACACGATAGATATTTTCCTCAAGGCCTCGAGAGGTCAAATCCTCACGAAAACTATCCGCACACGAGAGCTATACTTGCTGAGCTAATCGCCTCGCGAGGCGGTTAGCTCAGCATGTTGCTCTCGTGTGCGGCGGGCTTTAGTAAGACAATAACTCAATAAGAACGTTCATAAAACAAATCAAAACGTTTTACGAAACAAATAGCTTGCAGGTTGCTTGCAGCAGGCTCGCGTTGCTTTGGTTGGATTGACTAACTTTGCATAGTTAATGTATTTTCAATTCCCAACGGTGGAAGAATGTGATTTCGACCGGCAATTTTTATTTGACGAGTATGTGGCCATTTCTCATCGTTACGATTTAAAAAAGGTATCATATAGAGAAGCTAAATAACAGCTCTTTCGTCCTATGTAAAAATTGAATTGTTTAGCTAAGTTTATGATGCACGACAGCCTGTTGAATTTCCGTAGCGTTTTTTTTTTTTTTAACACCCTGTATATATATATATATATATATATTTATATATATATATATATATATATGTATATATATATATATATATATATATATATATATATATATATATATATATATATATATATATATATATATATATATATATATATATATATATATATATATAAAGATAGTTTTATAGTCTACAAAGTCTCTATGAAGACAAGTGGCTATTGCAAGAGTTAATGAAGTGAAACTTCGGCAATAATGCTTCTTTATATAATACACACTGATATATTTACAATGCATGTGAAAAAATGAATGAATACCGATTATACGATCATGAGTCATGACTTTCCAAACAGACAAGTTATTTTTAGATAAACAAACCTTACATGTTGTAACTGATCATTATGGAGCGGACGAAATTAAAATTTATGCGGCTGGTGTTTGCACGTAGGCTACTGCATGCATGCATGTATATACGGCTGCAGTTGAAGTAATTAAAGTTTCTTAGTCTTAGATGAACTATGGAATTTTCTTGACATGCATGCAGAAACTGATCATGAGGACAGAGCGTGAAAGAAGCTGCATTTTCAAATATCAATTATAAAGACAAGCGTTTCTCACTTACCGCATTTACTCGTTTAAGCGCCCCGTTGCTCTTAAAAATATTATTAGTGGACGGTATTATGCAATACTGTACTTCCTTCTCTTCAATTGGGATGATATATAGTTTTAATAAGAGTTCTTGACTATTTTCGGAACCAGAAAAACAAGTTTGTAGATTTGCTATGGCATCGCGAAACAAATCGTCCATTTTTGTATCTGCGAAGCAGATATATATGCTATCGCAAACGTGACCGTACTGTAGTTAGCACATAGCCATTCAGCGACGAGCTTATATAATTTAAGCCAATTTAAGCCAATCAGCGATCAGTTTACATCATTGTTTACGTCGTGCCCGCATCTAACCTACGAACGGGCGTAGTTTGGTCGTGTTATTCTTTGCCATTTTCACATTTTGGCTTCAAAAATATCTTGATTTTGTCTTGTTTTCACGTGCCATTCTACTTGCGATGTTATTCCGAAGTTATCTATCAACATGGAAATTTATCCTTATCTGGTAAGTAGTCAAATACCACATATTTATTATTTTATTACATATTTTTACAGCCAAAATAACCATTGTGTTGTGTAATATTTTAAACAGTCAAAACATGGCAAGGCAATATATTTGTCACTGAACAATGTCTCAGGAAACTAATGTTCTCAGGAGATATTGAATTAAATCCTGGTCCTGTATTTCTGTCTTAAACTCTGTTCGATATTATCAGTTAAAATACTTATACATTTTGGTTTTACATTAAAGTTTACAATAATTAAACAAAATTTTTACAAACATTTTCAAATGCTAATAAAAGAATCCCCATCTTCCCTCCTCATTACATTGTTATTTTGCTTTCTACATAAATGTTTTTGTTTAGAGATTAATGCAAGAATGATGAATAAATGTACTGGATATTGGCTAGATAATTTTATCAGAACAACCCACTTGCAAAACAATCTTACCTAAATTCATTAGTATGGATAATAACTTAACAGCTGGCCACAATAATCATATATTATATGGATGGATCAGATTAGTGGCACACAATATGTACAAAACTAAACTTGTGATACGTTCTACTCAAACTGATAT